ATGGGGCATCCGCAACTTCTCTGGGCAACCTGTTCCAGTGCTCCATGTCCTTCTTGTACTGGGGACCCCAGAGCTGGATGCAGTGCTATGGGAGGGGTCTCATGAAAGCAGAGGGACAGAATCACCTCCCTCGACCTGCTGGTCACGCTTCTTTTGATGCAGCCCAGGACACGGTTGGCTTTCTAGGCTGCAAGTGCGCATTGCCAGCTCATCTTGAGCAGTCAACACTCCCAGGTCCTTCTCCTCAGGGCTACTCTGAATCCATTCTCTGCCCAGCCTGTAGTTGTGCTTCGGATTGTGCTGACCCATGTGCAGGACCTTGCACTTGGCCTTGTTGAACTTTGTGCAGTTCGCATGGGCCCACCTTTCAAGCCTGTCAAGGTTCCTCTGGATGGCATCCCTTCTCTCCAGTGTGTCCACCACACAGCTTGGTGTCGTCAGCAGTCTTGCTGAGGTTGCACTCAATTGTACTGTCCATGTTGCTGACAAAGATGTCAAACAGTGCTGGTACCAGTACTGACCCCTGAGGAACGCCACTCATCACTGAACTCCACATGGACATTGAGCTGTTGACTGCGACTCTTTGAGTGTGACCATCCGGTCAATTCCTTATCCACCGAGTGGTCCATCTGTCGAATACATGTGTCTCCAATTTAGAGACAAGGGTGTCATGCAGGACAGCATCAAATGCTTTGCACAAGTCCAGGTAGTCTGTCACTCTTCCCTTGTCCACCAATGCTGTAACCCCATCATAGAAGGCCACCAAATTTGTTAGGTACAATTCGCCCTTAGTGAAGCCATGTTGACTGTCACCAATCACCTCCTTATTTTCCATGTGTCTAAGCATAGTTTCCAGAAGGATCTGCTCCGTGATCTTGCCAGACACAGAGGTGAGACTGACTGGTCTGTAGTTCCCTGGGTCTTCCTTTTTTCCCCTTTTTAAAAATGGAGGTTATGTTTCCCCTTTTCCAGTCAGTGGGAACTTCCCTGGAGTGCCTTCATGACTTCTCAAATGTGATGGAGAGTGGCTTAGCCACTTCATCCACCAGTTCCCTTAGGATCCATGGATGCATCTCATCAGGTCCCATGGACTTGTGCACCTTCAGGTTCCTTAGATATTCTCGAACCTGATCTTCTCCTACAATGGGTGGTTCTGCATTCTCTCAGTCCCTGCCTTTGCCTTATGTGACCTGGGCAGTGTGGCTCAAGCACTTGCTGGTGAAAACTGAGGCAAAGAAGTCATTGAGTACCTCAGCCTTCTCCATATCCTGGGTAACCAAGTCTCCTGTTTCATTCCAGAGGGGGCCCGTATTTTCCCTTGTCTTCCTTTTATCACTGACATACCTATAGAAGCTTTTCTTGTCGTCCTTGATGTCCCTGGCCAGATCAGGGCTTTTGCTTTCCTAACCTGATCTGTGGCTACTTGGACAGTTTCTCTATATTCCTCCCTTGCTACCTGCCCATGCTTCCACCTTGTCTAGGCTTTTTTTGTTTGACTTTGCCCAGGAGCTCCTTGTTCATCCATGCAGGCCTCTGGGTGTTTTTGCCTGACTTCCTCTTTGTTGGGATGCAACACTCCTGAGCTTGGAGGAGTTGACCCTTGAATACCAGCCAGCTGTCTTGGGCCCCTCTTCCGTCCAGGGCTTTGTCCCATGGTATTCTACCAAGCAGGTCCCTGAAGAGGCCAAAGTCTGCTCTCCTGAAGTCCAGGGTAGCGAGCTTGCTTTGTTCCCTGAGTTGAGCAAATCATTGAAGTAAACAATAGCAGTACAGACAAGCAAAGGGTATCTTGGTTTATTATATAATTTTTGGACCTTTCTTTGTGATAAACTGTTTAGGCAGTAGACTGCGTAGACAAGAAGTGTGAGTCTTGGAGGGGGTGTACACAGAGGTGCATGTGTGAACCTACAAATGACAGAATATTTTGTCTGAGGTCACGATCCCTTTCCACTTGCAGGTACCTTTAAGGATTTGTCCATTTGCCTGTGGGAAATTGTCTGGCAGTAAGGCAAGACTGTGGGAATTTGGCTAATTTGTACTTACATGGTTGAAATGCAGTGAGGTTGTCACTGAGCTCTCAACACATTGCATCTCCATTTCACTATTGTCTTTCTAGCCTGTGAGCTCTTCATAATGGCTTCTGAGACACTGAGTGTGTGTAGCTGTGAAAAGAAATTGTTAGCAATATTAAAAACACTTGCTATAAAGCTTATCTTTAAAATTATTATAATTCAGTGTGCTTTTCCTAACTGTTTTTCTTGCTTTGTGCAGGACTTTGTTTCCGGGTAAAGAATGCAGACTATAAAGTGCGTAGTTGTTGGAGATGGCGCTGTGGGAAAAACTTGTCTTCTCATCAGTTATACCACCAATGCCTTCCCAGAAGAGTACATCCCTACTGTGTTTGACAACTACAGTGCCCAAATGACTGTTGATGGCCGGACAGTTAGCCTGAATCTCTGGGATACTGCAGGTCAGGAAGAATATGACCGCCTGCGCACGCTCTCGTATCCTCAAACCAATGTATTTGTTATCTGTTTCTCCATTGGTAGCCCCTCTTCCTATGCAAATGTGAGGCACAAATGGCATCCTGAAGTTTCTCACCACTGTCCAAATGTTCCCATTCTTTTAGTGGGCACAAAGAGAGACTTGAGAAATGACCTGGAAACAGTTAAAAAGTTGAAAGAGCAAAGCTTGGCTCCTACTACCCCGCAGCAGGGGACTTCACTGGCTAAACAAATCGGAGCAGTCAAATATTTGGAGTGCTCAGCGTTGAATCAAGAGGGTGTTCGGGAGGTGTTTGCTGAAGCTGTGCGTGCCGTTCTGTATCCTGTGACAAAGAAGAACGCAAGAAAATGTGTCTTGTTGTAGTTACCTCGGATGATGGATGTTTGAAGTTGAATATTGACTGGAATCTTGGAGGGCTCTTTAATGAGTTAAATTGAAGATTTGCATCTTGCACTAACAGCTCTAAGCAGAAATGGTTTATGCAATGAATATTCTTGCAGTCTTACTGCTTCAGGGAAACTGAAACAGAACAGGTTGGTTTTTTTCCAACTGAGAGGTCAAATACCAACTTTATTTTTAAAGTTCCAGTCTCCAGCTTCTCCAGGGATCACTTGGCTTCTGTCCTTATTTAGTGGAGGAAAATAAGAGAAGGGACTTCTTTGAAGCCAGACTTACTAGATAGCCATGAGTTACTAGATTTGCTGAAAAGCACAAATTCTGATAACTTTGCTTTAAGCATAGCTGCTGCTTTTCCCATCCCTTATTTACTGATTTAATTTGTTTTACAAAGAGAAGTCTGGCTGTCCAGTTGTTTTAATTTGTCAATTTAAAGCTTGAAAACAATTTTTTTACATGCAAAAATGCCTGAAATATTACTGAGATTCACCTTATATGTATAAGGCATGTTTAATGCAATGAGCAAGATCCAGGGAACATCTGCAATGATTTTTATTAATAGAAACAGGAGCTGATTTCTCCTAATGTAAGGAACTTAGGATAATGATGAATCACTCAAATGAGTGATTTTCACACTTTGGAATTGGAGAAGTGGAAGAGTAGTATAGATGCAAGTCTTCCATAATCTTCTAAACTGAGTTTTTATTTTACTCTCCAAAGAGACTTTGCACCCTGAGAATAAAGTTAACAGTTAGCTTCTTGGACTGACTGAAGTAGTTGGGATGACACTTCTCAAAATGAGATTTTCAGTGTGATCCCTTTTGACAAATCCCAGAAACTTCATAGCAGCCCCTTTGCTCTTCAGGAATTCATTGCTTCACTTCTTAATGTTCTTGGAGCCACCACCTGAGATTTTTACAGCAAATTCCTTTGTTTTTCTGGGAGAACACTGGCAGAAAATTTGGAGGTTCTATTTACAGGAACCAGGAACCCTCGTTTCTTCCTGACAACTCACTGATAATTTCAGTTAAACTTGTAACGGTTAGCCAATCACTGGATAGGTTTACCTAGGCAATTTTCTTCTCTCTAGTATGTGATCAGTTATTATGAACTCTTTTAACTGAAGTTCTATTTACATACTTTTAAACTTTATTTAGCAGCTCCTTGAGTGGCAGCTGGCTTTTATTTTCAGGATGTGCACTGTTCTTCATGTGTGATTCTGTGACAAGCTGAGAAGTGAGTGTATGAAACCTTCCTTAGACTTAACCTTACAGCTTGGTGGTATGAAAGCAGCATGCTTCAAAGATACTTTGTGTGAAATAAATGGTGCTGGACTGGGCTTTGTTGTCTGAAGTTGACAGTGCTGTCTTTGTCCAGATGCAGCCTCAATTGGTAATTCAGAACTTCCTTTCTTATGATTCCCACATGTGCAAAACTGCACTGGTGTATATCTTGGGCAGAAAAAAAAGCCTCATTTTAGCAAGATAACAGAAAACACATCAACAAGGTTATTTGGGATCTTGTGTTAATTTGACCTTGCTTTATCTGATATGGGCAAAAATACCAGGTGGATGGAAATATTTGTATTTGTGCCCTAATTTCCCTCTTTGAAGAGGATGTGCCTTTCTTCAGCTGGTGTAACTGATACTACACTAACTGCAATTTTTGTATATCTGAGTTATGCTTTAGCAAATTGCAATCCATAGATTATAAACTGCAGTTAATCTAAATACTGGTATATGTGGCTAGTGAACCAACACCAAGTTCCAAATGTTGTCTCATCACAGGCAACACCAAAAGACTCATTATGTATGATACTTGCAGAAGCCTAGAGACTCTGCATACTTTTCTTCACCAAGTGCTATTGTCTGGAGTGTCTTTGCATCTTTTGCACTCAGAGTGCTGTTCCAGATGTGGCTCCTACCACAGTGCCCTGCAGGATGTTAAGAGCATAGGAGTATTTCAGTGGGGTAACCTCTACTTAGCATGTTCTGCCTTTACTTTAGTAGTAGGCCTTTAGCGTGGGCTTGACTTGCAGGCAGCAATTAACTCTATGCCTTGTAATTCAAGATTATGTTCTGTAGGTAAATTTCAGTAACCAAGTAAATAGAGTTTATCATGTTTAAAATGTATTTATTAAAGCCAGTACACATGTTGGTGTTTTTTTAATGCTAGTCAGGCCTAAATCAACTGTCTAGTTACCCTGGTGCAAGCCCATAACCTTTGCTTTGTTCAGAGATGTACTTAAAGCTTGTGATATGTTTGGACTGCTCTTAAATAGACCTAATTTCAACAACAGGCACCTCCTTTTTTTTTTTTGCTACATATATTTGCAATTTTGTACTGAAGCTACTACTGTTTTAAAAAGTTTTTCCTTTTTTTACATACTGATACCTTTTATTTCTGCATCTTTTGTCATTATTCCTAACTTGATTACAGTAGTTTTGTGGAGAAGAAATTCTGTGAGCAAGTATTATTGCACACCCCCCCATTTCTGTAGGCTCACAGAGCAGCCATCCTACTGGTGTTAACTGGAAGAGAGTATGGTAAGATAAAATTCACCTACTCAATCAATTTATTTGAATTGACTACATTATGCTAGAACTCTTTATTCCCTTGTAAATTACTTCTTAAATGGACTGCACAACAGTACTGAGGAGAATAACATAATAGTGATGAAAATGAGCAGACAGTGAACTTTGAACACCGTCAAAAACTTTTTACTGACTTTAGAGTACCTCATTAATAGTCATTTAGATGCTTTGTATTTCTGTTATTTCGTGCCAGGAGCAAACGTCCTGCCAGCTGGTTTCCTCCAGCCTCTGCTGTTCATGAGAATGAGCTTCAGGAGCACACAGATCCAATGAACTTTTCCATTCAGTGGGCATTCTCAGTTTGTGATCTCCCCCCACCCACTTCTTCCCCCCCTACAATTTGTGGTGCATTTTATTGTAAGTAGTCCAGTGCTTCAGTCTACAATCCATTCTGTTCCTGCCACGTGTTTGTGGGGGGGTGTTTTTTTGGTTTGGCTGTGGGGTTTTTTTGTTTGGTTGTTGTTTTTTTTTTTTTTCCCCTGTGGGCAGGTAACAAATACAGACTTCACACAATCCCATGGCTGGATTTTGTCTGTTTTTGGGAGATCAGAAAATCCAGGTTAAGCTGTGCAGGTTTCCCAAACTGTTCAAGATTCCTCAGTTTGTTATTGAATAGAAACACAGGGTGTATGTCTTAATTCACAGAAGAGACTCTCTATGAAGAGACCAATTTTAATCTTTCAGTTTGTGAATGATTTCTAAAATACTTCAGTGTTTGTTTTTTGGTTGGTTGGGGTTTTTTTGTTTGTTTGGGTTTTTGGGGTTTTTTTGTTTTTTTAAATATAGCTGTAGCCATCCACAGGGAGCTGAGCAGTTCAGGAATTCTGTGTCCAAAGGATGTTATGCATAGATGCATAAGTGCTTTCTCCAGTTTGCAGCTGTAGCTGTTTCTATGAAATTTAAACTAGAAGAGCCTCACCATGCTTTGTCTCTGAGTGCTAAACCTTCCTCTGTAGAAACCTTGGTGCTGCTTGGGCTGACCCCAAGAAGCGGATGGATCTCACGGGGGTCCCGACCCCCTAGGTGGGCTGCAGGGGCTGCCTGTCAGCAGTGGGAGCCCAAGACTGAAGTGTGGTACTGATACATACACTGGCAACTTGATATTATACTATAAAAGAATTTGTATTACAGCTAACAGTTTTAAAGGATTTTTTTTAAATTATGCGGATTTAAGTTGTAATAAAACTTTTCTCATGTCTCTGTCTCTCGTATTAACTCACCTTGCTGTTTGTAACACACCTGTTCTAAACGTAGTTCTTTCCTGTGGAAAGCCAGACCCCGTTTCTTAAATGCAATAAACGATTTTTTCGGTGAACGCCGGAGCCTCTGCTCTTCCTTGGGACGTTGCGGGGTGGGGCCGCGCGGGGGCGCTGTTTGCCGGCCCGGGGCGGGGTGGCTCCT